CCGATGGCCAACCACATGCCACTCCAATAAATAAATAAATAATAGATACACAATCCAGATCTAAATGCAGCCTTTTTGGTTCTAACATCAAAAATATTTATGAAGGATATAATCTAATTAAACAAATTATATAAAATCCCCAACGACATCCTTTAAAAGTGTTCAAGAAGAGGAAGGGGAGGCGACCTTCAAGAGAAAAGTTTCTCTCTGTGAAGGCTAGCATGACCGGTGCAACAAGACAAACATTACCTCTCCAGGTATGTAAGATTTTAAATATTCGGAAAACACAATTTTTTGTGTATTATTATCTCAAATTCCCGTATGTGAATAGTATTTTTTTTTTAATATTTGATTAGCTACTCAGTGATCAACAATAAAATTTATTTATTTTGAAAATTTTCAAACCACAGGCACACAATAGATCATTAATGACGAAAATATTTACACAAATAAAATTATCGTAAATTAGAGCACTAGTATTTTCCATTTTCTTTTATGACTGGAGTTCGAACACCTTTTTTAGTGTCATGACCTTTCATGACGGACAATGTTGTTTGTCGTTGGTAGGCCGTCCATGGGAGTGTTTGCGTGGACTTTTAATGGACCGATGATGTCAAATTCAGGCTCTATCTGAACTCAGAAGCAATGGGTCTACCGTAACTAGTAACTGCAACCTCAAATATCAAACATGTCCTATTTTCGTCCACCAAATAAATGAAGCCACAAACTCCACTCAACCACTGATTGGGTGGTTGAGGCATGGGATATGAAGTTATTAGACCTTCATCAATCAGCGGGGTCGAAGGTTGACTTGGTCAAATGTCATAATAGTTGATGTGTATCGAATTTGAAAAAATTAAAAATAATATTTAAATTTTTTTATAATTTATATTAAAAAAATCAAGAAACAATTTACATATTATAAATAAAAGTTTAAAAAATTATTTCAAAATATTTTTTATCTCACATTATAAATATATTATCTTTTTATTTTAAATCAAAGTATTTAAACCAATAAGATTTCTTATCTACACATTAAAAAAATAAAATAAAAATTTTATGAACATAAAATATATATATATATATATATATATTAATAGAATTTTAATTTCATAATAAAAAAATAATTAATTATTATTATTTAAGCTTTGATAAAACTACCAATGAATGAGAAAATAATATTAACACCTTAAAAGGTTAAGCTAGGCAAAGCAAGGGGAAATACTTTCATATGGAGGCAAACCTATACTTTCTATATCTTTTTGTGTAATTTGTTTATCCATCAAACAGAAACTACTATTTTAACACTTTTACACTCTGTGTTTTAAGAAGACACAACCCATTAATATTTGTTCCATACATAAAAATTTCATTGGGCTAATTACAAGTCTAAATTTTGCCTACTTCTAACTGGGCCTCTCAGGTTCCAAATCAATTCTACAGGCCATGTCAAGATTGAAAACTATGTAGTATATGATGGTCTCAACTTTGGCAGTGTTTGTTTATGTAGGTTTATTACTTGCTTTCAATTTTTTTAAAATTTTTATTAATGCATTTTTAAAAAAAATATCCTATCACAATCCTAAACAGCTATTCATTTGTCAACTGAATTCCATCCTTTCTGCCCCTCGTTAAAAAGGCAGTAAGTTCTATAATGAATTAATCGCAAACATCTGTGCTAATATGCTTAGCTCAATCTCATCCCCAACACGCTTAGTTCGTTGAGAACTTTTTTGTTTGAAGTTGAAGAAAATTCATTTAGCAAAAACCAACTTCGAAAGAAACAGTTCTGCTTCGGGGAGTACAAGACTTGAGTCCAACAAACGAAATCAGAAAAAGGAAGACATAAAACCTTGGAAAAAGAAAAACCATAAATTACAAAAATCAAGACATCATCGCAGGTAGCACAACCTCCGAAGAGTCACAGCTTAAGAAAGTTCCAGTCGACATTTTATTACTGAATTTACGGCAGCATTTTTAATTTCTTACGTCAACTGATACCCCAGATTTATATTCTCTGCAAGCCTTCAATTGCAACAACTCTAGAAGTAACAGTTTCTTTCTACAAGCGTGCTGGTTGATGAACCATAAGGTTGCAGATCAGCTTC